ATTCCTCAAATTGGTTTGCCATTTTCAAGAATTTCAATGTGTGAATCAAGGATTCAGACTTTTTATACTCCACTCATTGTACAGATTTTCAATTGAGCTGGAATGCATGGCTACCATTTTTTTCTTATTTGTATTGTTAGCTTTGAACAGTCAATTTGAAATATGTGTAACTATAAACATGTTTCCTTTCCTCTGCCGTGACATATTTCATGTGACATCAAGAGAAAGTTAGTGTGTTAAACAACATGAGATGGAGTGAGCATACTGGTAACCATCTCACCAAGTGGTTTAAGAAAGCGCTACAAAGCTCATATAATCTCCATTTATGAGGGTTCAAAATATGGCTGCCGTAGTTTCCATATGCTGTTAGGATGTGTTGAAGTTTTGTTTGTACATTCATCTGTCTTAATAGTTTATTAAACTATAGGTTTGTTAATTTTCCCTGGCTACTGTAGGATGCTGCTGCTTTCTGGATTCAGCAGCCATTAGCTGCAAGGGAGTATGCATCAAGCACCATAATTCCAGCATGCAATGTTGTTGTGGACTTATCAAATGGTGCAAAAGATCTCATTGATAATGAAGTTTCAGCTTTCTATCAAACTCCTGATAATAGCCTTTATATGCTTCCATCAACCCCTCAGGTATGCAAGTGCAAATTATGTAATGTATGACTGAGTGCATGTTTGGCAAAGCTTATAATTCTTATAAGGTGGTCAAACACTATTTTTATTCATACATTTTGTAGAATCCACAACTTTTACATTTTAACCACACATCCTTGGAATCCAGTGCTTATAAGCACTTAAAGCTTAGGCAAACAAGAGCTAAATATTTCCTGTAATATTTGTTATCTGATCAAGACAGAGTTCCTTTCTTGACTTATTTGCAAATCAGAATGCTAGACTCAATTGTGTCACTTTTACTTACTGGAAAACTTATTATTGATATTGCCCCACCCCCCAACCACTGCGGCAAAAAATAAAATTTCTGGAATGGGTCTTCTTCTGCAGGATGATCTTGGGTCCCTAATACACAGCTTACATTTCATAAATAGTTCTTTCACAAGTCACATACTCTTACTTAGATACATCTATCGAGCTATAAGTTAGCCTCGATCTTTAACAATTTTCTACCTCAAACCTTAAAAGACGAAAGAAACCCATCGAGCAATAAGAAAACACCTGTTCACACAATCATGATATTTGTATCATCCAATTCTCTTATGAACCCTTTACTTTCTGATCAGGCACTCTTGGAGGCAATGGGTGCTAATGGATCTACAGGACCTGAAGCAATTGCTACTGTTGAAAGGAATGCTGCAGTGTTAACGGCAATAGCTGGTGGAAGAGATCCTTCTGCAGTACCTTCTATATGCCGTATTTCTGCTGCCCTGCAGTATCCTGCTGGTGAGAATTTGTCCCATCCTTAGAATCTCTCATGCATGGTTTCCTGGATAGTTTACTATTGGACTTGGATTAAATCACTTTCCACTGTGGATTTGTGCAAAGTATTTAATCAAAATTTTGATAATTAAGTCTTTTGTATGTGATAGTCCCTTTTTTTGTCAAGCTTTTGGCATCAAGAGTCTTTCCAAGAATTTTGGCATCAATTTGTATAATTTTTCATCTCAACCTCTTCCAGCCACAAATAAGTAATTAGAAGTTCGGATAAGAATTTATTCTTAAAGTTCCTGTGATATAAGCAGAACTAGAACTTGATAATGGAAAAACTCGAAGTATATTGTGAGTTGGCCACAATTCTAAATATGAATAGGCTACGGTTCGTGAGATTAGATTTCAACTACATTCCTTGACTTCGTTACCAAATACTAGGTAGTTATTCTTGTTGCTTCTTTATGGATGTGGAAGGGGTTGGTTGCATGATATTTTCTTCATACAAGATTACCTCTGACCAGTATAAATATCTGATAAAGCCCATATTTGGTTTAAGTTAAAATCAAATTTTTAGTAGATTTTAATAACAGTTGGTGGAATGTGTGGTTGAAAAGTGGCGAGTCCCATAAAATGTGTGTTTAAAATTAATTGTTAATTTTGACTTAGATTTTAATCTATTTTTCTAACTGAACCAAATATGGGCATAATATGTTTGAACTAATTTATAGTTTTTCCATAGGTTTGAATGGCTTGGATGCTGGTTTAGCATTAGTCCTAGAATCCATTGAATTCTGTTTGAACTAATTTATAGTTTTTTCATAGGTTTGAATGGCTTGGATGCTGGTTTAGCATTAGTCCTAGAATCCATTGAATTCTGTTTAAAGCTTCGATGTTCCGAGGCTTGTGTATTGGAAGACTTGGCCAAGGCAATTAATTTGGTTCATGTACGAAGGTATCTTGTTGAGAGTGGTCATTCATTGTTGAATCATGTTCATTGTGCATGGCAAGAGTACGATAGGTATATCTAACCCACGTTAACTCTCATGCTTCTCATGCTATTGATGAATGGACATTTATTTGGGCAGAATGGGAGGGCCTGAGAAAACTCAAATGTACTGTTTGGGGCCGAGATTTAACATTGTTTAGTTTAAAATTTTTTCCCTTTCAATGTTGTTTGTGTTTTCTTATTTATCACCATCTAGTGAATTATGAGTAGGAAGCACTAACATAAGCATTAAGATTAAAATGACACGACCATACAAGTCATGTTATACTATTAAATAACAGGCATTCCATTTTCTATTTCGATTTATATTATAGAAAATTAGTGTGCTTGAGAGTCATTGGTGATTAAATAAACAAAGATTTTACCAGGACTGCAATTTTAGAGAGACGCGAAAGCCTATGGGGTCGCTTCTGTAATTGGATAACCAGAACATTTGGTCTTTTCTTTTGGGACAAAGATAGATGACTTTACTGATTTACGTTGACTCTATCTTGCAGAACAACCAATTATTGCCTAAATTTGGCCACTGAAGATGACTTTACTGATTTACGTTGACTCTATCTTGCAGAACAACCAATTATTGCCTAAATTTGGCCACTGAACAAGAAAAAGTTGTTACAGAGAAAAGGATACCAGAATTAAAGAATGCAGTTGTAAATGCTCAAAAATTCCTTGAAGACTGCAAATATGTCAAGAGGCTTGGTGAGTACCCTTCAATACTTTCCAAGTTATTTTCCATTTTTCTGTAGTCATCGATATATATATTTTGTAAATTTTTGGTGGATTAAGTACCGACTTCGTCATACTCTCAATTTCAAATTTTATGATTTGATCTGCTTGTGCAATTGCCGACTAACTTGGGACTTATCCTTGGATGAGATTTTCTTTCTCCTTTTGTCTTTAGTATTGCAAAAATCCTAATAGAATGATGATTTAGTTAAGGAAAGTATTAGAATTCATGTTGGCTCGTTGTCGAAACTTCATCCCCATGTGTCATCAACTGTTTTAACCATTGTTCCTTTTTCTTTTCAGCTTCTCTCCTTTTCCCTTCATGTACTGAACTTCCACGCAAATTCTATAGCTTATGTTCATACATACGATTTAGTTCAAAGTCTATGTGAACTTCTACGTTATTAAATTTTCTTGATTTATCATTATTATGTTAGACATGACATCAATACCGTTGAACCAAAAATGTGACTCCGTAGGACAACTAATGACCTCAGCGATAGAAAGAAGTTCCTTTTTTGTGAACTTAGCGCACCATGCAGGAACCAAGAAGCCCAGATTGTGGCACTAAAAGATAATCATTTCTGTTTCTACATCTCAATCTCTAGACAAGCATATTTCTTCTTATTGATATAACATTTCAAATGACATGCTCGTTGTAACTTGATACTCAAAAATCTTATTATGCTCAGCATGAATGAAGCCAGGTTCATGAGAAGCAAACCAATAAATATGCATATCCAAAAATATGGTTGTGCTTTCTAGGTGATTGATGTCCCATATTTCATGTTCAAGTCAGACTGTTGTATTGTTTGAATTTTTGCTTAATGAAACGATATCCGAGTGTCCTAATTTCAATTTGTTTGTGTTTTACATCAATTCTCCCAAAGGTAGCAAAAACGTGAAGGAATTGCTTGTTTAGATAATAATTACTGTTTGTCTTACTTTCCAATATTTCTGTGGCATTTATTTGTAGCTTGATGAATGGTGGGAACAGCCAGCCCCAACCGTTGTTGATTGGGTTACTGTCGATGGAGAAAATGTCGCAGCATGGCAAAATCATGTGAAGCAGCTTCTGGCATTTTATGACTAGTAAACTCTGCTTAAGAATTTCATTTTATGGTCGGAAAAAGTGGTTTCTGGCTTTTCTTAAATTGCTGTACCATTTCTGGGAGTCTCGCGGCGTAAGAACTGCAAATGGCATTTACAAGAAGTTTTGAAAAAAGGAGTAAGGTGAAAGGAATTTGAGCATGCCCACATCGGTTTTATACCAAGTTGTCGTGTATATGATTTCTTCCATAGCCTACTTATCTCTTCTGATACGATCAAGTTAAGGTCCCAGCCTCAGTTCTTGTACCAGGTAATTGTAGGGATTTGTCTTATTTCTTACGTAACAACAGATTCAGTGTGCTAATTAATTAAGATGAAAAGGCGATGACCTTAAGAGAGTGAAATTGATTAGTGTAATTTTATTTTTTTTCAATTTTGTTATACTAGAATTCAAGACTCCTTGAAAATCTTTCTCCATGTCTCTCATTTTCATGGGTTAACAATACGTACAGCCAGATGAAAAGCAGACGGCATCGGCCATAATTCCATTCCAGCTCTGAATTAAGACAATCACTGCAAAATATCTAAAGGTGGAAATGGCGACTTTAACAAGCTCTTCCATTTTGCATTTTAAAAGTTCAAAATTTAGTAGAAACTAAAATTTAGATTTCGATATAAGTCAAAATAAATAATTAATTTTAATCATTATTTTATGGGACTCGTAACTTTTCAATTACACATTTCATCAATTTTATCAAAACTTACTAAAGATTTTATTTTAATTCTCACCAAACAGGGACATAATAAAAAAGGAAGAAACATTGTCTGAATCATTTGATCAATCACCACGTCTCAAATTGGTACTATAAATATTCTTACAATAGTTGATATCATCAAGAACGAAAAGAAACAGAAGTTCATTTTGAGAACATAATCAAGTAACATGTAAAGGAGCGATTGTATAAGATCAGAAGTACCCAAAAATTTTACAGGGCCACAATCCCCACACTCTCACTTATCCGACAAAGATTGTCCTACCTTGAATTATCGAGATTCAACAGCAGCTTCAGGAAGGATGACTCTCCGAGACCTCAGTTCATTACGTCATAGTCGTCCACCTTATTGTAGTATTCCAAGACCCTTCTCTTTATCTTGGATGTATCAACCCATGTAATAAAGTCTTCCATATTTCTCGTGACAAGGAACGCCGGGTCAGTAACCGTGTCGGGTCCTACACGAATATGTCCCTGCTCAATATACGTTACTGCTTCTGTCAGGTGTTCGGCCATCTTCAGACATACCAGGACAGTGGCCAACCGCCGCCTAAGAGAAACAGAAATACACCACAAGAAGGCGTGAATCATAAAGACATTGAATGAATTTACATTCCTGATTTATATAAGATTTAGAGCTAAGTGCATGTTAGGTAACACATAGGTCTATACAATATAAATAAATTTTCTTAAGCAATTTAAATTATAAATAGATAAAAATGAGTGATGGATACTTGTAGTGCTCGTGGATCCTCAAAATGTGAAGATAAAAAGTGGCTTGAATGAGGAACCAAACATAGGCTTAGTTTTCTTCTTCAATGGTCAAATACCAAACATGCAAAATAGCATATTACACTCCAAACACTGTAGGATATTGGATATCTATAACTACACTCAAATATGAAGATTTTAAGTTGAATATTATTGTTAATCTAGAATTGCAACTCTTAATCATCTCTAAGATCATTTATCTTGTAAACAACTCATAACTTGGGCAGACTTGAGATTTAAACAATGAGATTGGATTGCAACGCCACACTTACCTACAAAATGATGATACCGATAGACGATCACATAAAGCCAAACTTTTACGAGATGGTATCAAGCCCATGTTGTACCTGCATAGATGAAAACATATGGGATTTCTTGTAAGTCTTGAAGGACTGTTTTAATAATATTTGGCTGGCACAGCTTGGCACAGCCCTGCCCGTGTCTATAGTACATATACCAATCCAAGGACCCCTGTGTTCCCCCTTGTAGCAATTTCCAGTTATGAAATCCCATATTCTTGGATCCAAACACAGGTAAAATTAGAATTAGCAATCAAATTCGAGAACATGCATGTTGCATAAGATTTTGAATAATTCAAGAATTACTAATAAAATGTATTCGACCATATGCTTAACAGCTACTTTAAGGAAAGAAGTTCAGACCAAATTAAAATTGCCTGTCCCACAAAGTTCAATACCTAATCTTAACCTTGTAAAAAGCAAAGACCAAAACCAAGAAACTGCATTCAGATTGCTCTTACCACTGCCCATTAAGCAGAGTTCACAAAACTCAAATTGCTCAATCCTCCACTCTCCCAATACAAACAAGGATAGATTACAGCATCTGAAAACCATACACAACTACTTAAATATCCCTATAAATTGGCCTTATGCTTTGAACCAATTAAGTAACCGGGCAAGTTCACTATAAAGCTGGATTTCCTACTTTTTTCTTCTTTATTCCAGACAACTAATTATAGAACTACGAAACCAAAGACAAAGACTGTTTCACAATTGTACAGCAATGTAGCTACGAATCTCCTCGATAAGGAAATAAATATCAGAATTGAACTGGAAGGAGAAAACTCACAGCTTCTCAAGGAGGGCATCAGTCATCTCAGTCCGAAAAGGGTCTCTGCTATCCATCTGTTTTAGCACGTTCACTAACTTCTGCACCATTCTGCACAGAGTCGAATACCTAAAAGTATTGCAAGTAATTAAACAATGTCATTATCAATTAAAATACTCAAAAAATTCAAAATTTCACCAATATCGAACTAATTTTTGTGACCCAAATGAAAAAGGAATGATAGAGTTACTTCTTGTAGTCGTCTCTGGCTGTTATATGGTAACGATGCATGACAAACGCTTCTCGGTGGCCGCCTTCTCTCTTCCATTCCAAGAAATTAACTCTCTTCAACAGCTTCTTCTCATGAAATTTTAGCTTCCGCATCTTCTCTTAATAATCTATATATGAGCGCACTCATTATTTAAAAAATATTATTTCACTCATTTTTATTTCAAAAAATAAGGGCCAAACAGGGCTAAAGGCAAGCTTTTTAATATTTCGTTGTAATTGCAATTATAAGCGAAAAAAAGGAGGAAAATTGAGGAAAAAAATTTGTGCTATAAAGGCTTCTTGATTCAGCGTTGTGGTTTATTTTTCTTACTTGTGAAGAGTAATGTTATGAAAATAAGCAGATTTTGAGTGTTTTCGAGGTTGGAAAAATGTGGGCTTGTTTTATAAAATACTCTAACGTCAAAGAGTTAAGACTTTTAAATACTTTTAAAGATTTAAAAAAATTTAGGGAATTTTTAAGACTTCTTAAAACGTATTCAATAAAGAGTATTTAGAATTTTAAGTGTGCAATTAAAAGTTTTTAAGTAGAAAGTATAGATACAAAATCTCAAAATTTGTCTTACATTTACTCCAAGATTTTGAGGCTTTGACAAAATAATTTTTTTAATATGTAGGAGATATATTCTATTGGAACTTTTATATAAAAAAACAAAAAAATAAAAAAATTAATTGATGGACTTTTGTGAAATTCGTAAATTTCTATATATTTTATGGAATTAATTGAAGTTTTTTTTATTATTATTTTTTTTTTGTAGACTTTCATTTTAAAACTCTTGTAGATTATTATAGAATTTGTATGATTTTTTAACGCTTTCATTAAAATAAAATTCACTTCGAAAAAATAATAATAATTTTTTAATCATGCTAAAAGTTCATAGAAGGAAATAAGAAAGAAAAATATTGAAAGAACAAAAATAATGTGGCACCTTTATATCAAATAAAAAAAATTAACAAAATAACTGTATAATATTTGCTGAAATTTGATTTGCTAAATACAAAACTTGTTGTAAGTAGCATTGATAGATTTCTTGAATGTTCAATCCATTTCGTTGGGATTTTATGTTCTTACTAGTCGTATGCCCGTGTAATGCACGGACAGTGTAATTTTTTAAAGTAATGTTAGTGTATCTAGCGTTAAAGATTGATGTACATTAGATTAGATCGGCAAAACAAACTTAATGCAATGAGATAAATTTACATATAATGTTATCAATAAAGTATAGTCATAAAGCATCTAAAGAGCATAACGAAATAAATGTAAACTTTGATACGGAGAAAAAATAATTAGCAAACAAGAGTTAAGTGTACAAGTAATGTTAGTGTAAACTTGAACAAGCTACTAGATCCTGATCAAAGATGGCACCTTCTCATGAATTCCCTTTGACACAATATTAGATATCTGACTTGTAGATGACAAAAAAAAAAAAAAAAAAAAAAATTGATTTTGGGCATATGCCTTGACAATCTCATTTGCAAACGTGCGGCAATAGACTAACAGAAATAGTTTTACCAGAGTCACTGAAAGCATAATGCCAATGATCCATTGCTCTTGCTCCTTTGTCAAATTGAATTCGTCATCCTGCACAAGCTCTTTTGTTAAAATGTATAGAGAAGCAAGAAATGAAGAGTCAATATTTAAAGAATAAAAAATCAGCTCCAAGCAACCAAAGCATGGAACACTTTCTCAACTCTCTAAGTACCATGTTGATTCAGGTAGGGATCACTTACATCAGAAACTAATGTGTGCAGGAATTCCAGTGTAATCTGTAGACCTAAAGTTGCCACGACAGAAGCGAAAACAAGGATTCCCTACTGCAGGAATTAATGTTTACTCCCACCCATTAAATGCTTACATGACTGTAACATATCCTTTGTCCAGCCTAAATGCATCTCCAGGGACTTTATGTCAGATGTTCGAGGAGTTCCACAATTGCATTTGCTCAAGACATAGTATCCATTATCCCAAAATTATGTACGTTTTGGTCAAACTATGCAACCATAAAACCTCCTAAAGAGTTGCAAAAATTGATTTACTGTTACACATCAAACTGCAATAATCCAGTGTCTACTTGTAATATTCTCCACCGTGAATCTTGCACAACCAAATTGAAAGGAAAGCAAGTTAAGCCAGATGACAATCCATTCCCGTGGAGGACAGGAGGAACATCAAAGAGGCCTGAAACTTGTTGGCCAACCGAAACAGTTCACCTTCTGCTTGCTTTCTGATTCTCTTAATGTTCATTTATTTTCTTCTCCCCTCTACAAGTTGTTGAGTTTAATGTTCCTTTAAAAGAAGACGTGCTAGGTTTGGTGGTCATTTAGGGCACAATTGTGTTTTTGTCATTTTCAGGTAACAGGGGTCACAAGTCTTGCTATAAATATTATGAACCCTAAATTATGTGACAAGAGTTACAAAAACACCAAACAGATATAAAAGAATGCACTACTTCGAAAATCATACCATTCAAGAATAAAATAAAATAAGATATACAACAAAGTCAAAGAAACAAACAGCCATTTGAACATTCAATCGTTTAACAGAGGTTTACAAAATACAGTCATGATCCCTCCACTTTCCCTTGTCAATCAACTCATAACACTGGAAAACATCTTCAAATATGGATTAAGAAACAACTAAAAGGGTTAATGCAAGATCACATGAAGAAGGGCAAAGCTGCAAGTAGAAATAATTACTTGTCCCATTTTAAATGGACCGGTGAAGGACTTGATTTGAGTAACACTATTTATTTGGAAAGCATAAGCTTGAGCATTTCTTCTTTGTGAAGAAAATTCAATTGCGTGTCTTAGGAATGAATTTGTTAAAAGAATAAGAGAATGGTATGGTTTAATGCCCTGAAGATTCAGATGCACTGAAAACTGTAGTGTAGGTCATAGCAGATATAATCTGAGAAACAAAAGCAAATCATATTCCTTACCAATTAGACACTACTATCGATACATTGAAAGAAATGAAAATAAATTCTCACAGCCTATTTTAAGGAATAATGAAAGGAAAAGGTAAGTACTAAGTAGCATGATTGTCAAAATGCGCAATCTGATTATTTTTGAATCAATGACTTAAGAGGCACTAACCAGAGGCTGCATACGTTTCTTTCCAATAGGATATCGATAAGGATTTGGCGTCTGCATGGAAAAAGCAGTAAACCACAGGATAAAACCAGATAGTAGATCGAGAAGCGAGTCTAATGTCGACGCAACAATGGCCAACGAACCACTACTGATAGATGCATAAACTTTAGCTGCAAAAAGAAGCATACTTGCAACATTTGACATTATGTTGGCAATTGTTTCACTTCTAACCAACTTTTCCCTGTCTCTCTGTAACCAAAATAAAAAAATAATTTAACCCTGGTACATTGTTCACCTCTTGATATCTGATAAAAGATTTCATCAACTTAATGAACAAAAAATAAAATAAAATTAAGGTTTTAAGTATAAACCTTTGACGTTAAAGATTGATGTACATTAGATTAGATCGGCAAAACAAACTTAATGCAATGAGATAAATTTACATATAATGTTATCAATAAAATACAGTCATAAAGCATCTAAAGAGCATAACGAAATAAATGTAAACTTTGATACGGAGAAAAAATAATTAGCAAACAAGAGTTAAGTGTACAAGTAATGTTAGTGTAAACTTGAACAAGCTACTAGATCCTGATCAAAGATGGCACCTTCTCATGAATTCCCTTTGACACAATATTAGATATCTGACTTGTAGATGACTTAGCTTCTTTACATTCTTTCATTCTTATTGTAATCACCAAATTATATGCATATAAAGCAGAACTATTCACGACGTGCTTCAATCGTCGATCGTCAACGAAGAAGTTGTTGGTGTCATCAACATAAGTTTATTCTTTACTTTATATAATTTTTATTAATTAGTGATGGAGTTACATAGGTAACTTATGATATCTTTTATTTATAATCCTTAAGTCGGATAAGTTATTATTTTGAATGTTATTCATTATCAATTAAATTTTCTGACAACGTATTTGATTTTTATATTTTTTATTACTTTATTTATAGACAAAATTTTCTTCGATAAAAGATATTTATGAAAATAATAATTTTTAATATTACAAACTGAAAATTCCATATTATATATTAAATCATTTTTTAACCATCATTCAATTCTAATAAAATCCTTTGAAAATAATCTTTAATTTGTTTTATAATTTTATTAGAAGACTGAAGTTTTATAGATACATTAAGTAAATTTAAAAAAAAAAAAAATTTGTCACCGAAGAAAACATGGTTGTTAATCTATAATATTATTTTGTTACCTATAGACTATTTCGTTGATAATATTTGTTTTTTAAATTTTTATTACAATATTTTGTGACATAGTTTATGTTGGTAAATTAAATTTATGAAGTAAGTGTTTTTAATTGTTACATAAGGAAAACTCCGGCTCAAAAATTTTGATAGTAAATATTGAGAAATAAATTTCTTAAAATCTAGGATCTTACTTAATTGTGGCGTTTTAAATGACATTCTTATTTTTCTAGAGGTTGAGTGAGATTTTCTCCTTTAATAATGCTAGTTGTTGTCACGAGTTGTATTTATCGTATTTTTATTAGCGTCAAAATTGTAGATTTTCGAAAACTTGTTGAAGATTTGAAAAGTTCGGTGAAGTTTGATCATTTGGTGTAAAATGATAGTTACAATTTTGTTCGCTTAAATTTTTGAGATTATTCTTTATTCCATTATCTCTTGTTCAATAATATCTGATCTTCCAATAAGCGAGTTCACATTCTCCAGCACAGTTAACGACCATGTTCGGATAGTGTACAATGTCAAATGTTGAACGTAGTATGATAACAGTGTATCAGAAATAAAATAATTGAACAAGAAAAAGGCAAAGATCTAAATCGTATGGAGACAGGAAAAGGAGAAATTACATAAATTAAGATGGTATCACCATAAAAAGAAAACAAACTAAGCCTCATTCTCAATAAGATTGGGGTTGACCACATGAATCATTCTTCACCATAAATGTATTTATAAATAATAACTTACAAGGTAAGCTTGTCAAGCATCTCATAAAATTACCAATAATGGACCCATCAAGCTTGGGACAATCACAGGACTCTCTTCTGGCTTTTAATGTTTAAAATCTGATCAATTATATGGGAACATGTTGTCTTAAATGGGATTATTGTCCAATATCTTTCAGACCCAAAAAAATAATAATAATAAAATAAAATAATAATAATAATAAATAAATAAATAACCAGTTGAAGTTGGGAATTATATAGTTGAGATGTAGTGATTAACCGAGCTGAATGGCGAATAAGGATCCATATAGCCAATAACTCCAACAAGGTCCATCCAGACACTGAAATAGTTAGCCATTACTACAGCAAAGAGGCCAATGATGTTGAAAAAAAAAAAAAAAAAATTTGATTTTGGGCATACGCCTTGACAATCTCATTTGCAAACGTGCGGCAATAGACTAACAGAAATAGTTTTACCAGAGTCACTGAAAGCATAATGCCAATGATCCATTGCTCTTGCTCCTTTGTCAAATTGAATTCGTCATCCTGCACAAGCTCTTTTGTTAAAATGTATAGAGAAGCAAGAAATGAAGAGTCAATATTTAAAGAATAAAAAATCAGCTCCAAGCAACCAAAGCATGGAACACTTTCTCAACTCTCTAAGTACCATGTTGATTCAAGAAGGGATCACTTACATCAGAAACTAATGCGCGCAGGGACTCCAGTATAATCTGCAGACCTAAAGTTGCCATGACAGAAGCGAAAACAAGGATTCCCTTAAGCCAGATGACAATCCATTCCCGTGGAGGACAGGAGGAACATCAAAGAGGCCTGAAACTTGTTGGCCAACCGAAACAGTTCACCTTCTGCTTGCTTTCTGATTCTCTTAATGTTCATTTATTTTCTTCTCCCCTCTGCAAGTTGTTGAGTTTTATGTTCCTTTAAAAGAAGACGCGCTAGGTCTGGTGGTCATTTAGGGCACAATTGTGTTTTTGTCATTTTCAGGTAACAGGGGTCACAAGTCTTGCTATAAATATTATGAACCCTAAATTATGTGACAAGAGTTACAAAAACACCAAACAGATATAAAAGAATGCACTACTTCGAAAATCATACCATTCAAGAATAAAATAAAATAAGATATACAACAAAGTCAAAGAAACAAACAGCCATTTGAACATTCAATCGTTTAACAGAGGTTTACAAAATACAGTCATGATCCCTCCACTTTCCCTTGTCAATCAACTCATAACACTGGAAAACATCTTCAAATATGGATTAAGAAACAACTAAAAGGGTTAATGCAAGATCACATGAAGAAGGGCAAAGCTGCAAGTAGAAATAATTACTTGTCCCATTTTAAATGGACCGGTGAAGGACTTGATTTGAGTAACACTATTTATTTGGAAAGCATAAGCTTGAGCATTTCTTCTTTGTGAAGAAAATTCAATTGCGTGTCTTAGGAATGAATTTGTTAAAAGAATAAGAGAATGGTATGGTTTAATGCCCTGAAGATTCAGATGCACTGAAAACTGTAGTGTAGGTCATAGCAGATATAATCTGAGAAACAAAAGCAAATCATATTCCTTACCAATTAGACACTACTATCGATACATTGAAAGAAATGAAAATAAATTCTCACAGCCTATTTTAAGGAATAATGAAAGGAAAAGGTAAGTACTAAGTAGCATGATTGTCAAAATGCGCAATCTGATTATTTTTGAATCAATGACTTAAGAGGCACTAACCAGAGGCTGCATACGTTTCTTTCCAATAGGATATCGATAAGGATTTGGCGTCTGCATGGAAAAAGCAGTAAACCACAGGATAAAACCAGATAGTAGATCGAGAAGCGAGTCTAATGTCGACGCAACAATGGCCAACGAACCACTACTGATAGATGCATAAACTTTAGCTGCAAAAAGAAGCATACTTGCAACATTTGACATTATGTTGGCAATTGTTTCACTTCTAACCAACTTTTCCCTGTCTCTCTGTAACCAAAATAAAAAAATAATTTAACCCTGGTACATTGTTCACCTCTTGATATCTGATAAAAGATTTCATCAACTTAATGAACAAAAAATAAAATAAAATTAAGGTTTTAAGTATAAACCTTTGACACTATTGCTACAGAACCTCGCTCTGCTAGTACATCCATTTCATTGAACCCCTCCAACATCTCTACCTGTTGCTGATAATACTCTGCAACATTATCTTCTGGACCTATACCATTAAGGAAAAGGAAAGAAATGTCTCGTGTGCAGTCCCTTGAAGCGTCAATCAATTACTAATCTTGGCTTCAATAAAAAAAAATGATAGGATACGACTATTGCTACAGAACCTCGCTCTGCTAGTACATCCATTTCATTGAACCCCTCCAACATCTCTACCTGTTGCTGATAATACTCTGCAACATTATCTTCTGGACCTATACCATTAAGGAAAAGGAAAGAAATGTCTCGTGTGCAGTCCCTTGAAGCGTCAATCAATTACTAATCTTGGCTTCAATAAAAAAAAATGACAGGATACACTAAATACAGGAAATCATAATTAAAATTTAAAATCCTAACACAACAAGTGAACTCAGAGGGCACTCACAGACATAATTAAAGTGAACAAAAGCATTAATTTGTCCAAAGTTGTGCAAGTACATGCTAATAATTCTTAAGTTTTTCCTACGGCCTAACATTCGAATTCAACACATTTCAATTTATAATATTTTCATTAAAAGCAGGCTTGAAAGCAAGAAATAAAAAGAAGATACTCACTAATATTTAACAGAAGTGCTCAAGTTTCTCAAATGAAACTCAAAAAATTAAGCAAATGATAAAGGAAAATAATAAATAAAAGAGTACGTCTTGCACTTTTTTATATATTACTTGTTTCGCTTGGATCTGAAGCTGTTAAGAACGAATACTACTCCACTCTAGTAGAAAAAAACAAAGAGAAACAATTTATTACTCATGAAATTATTCCATTGCCTCTTTAGCCCCATTAATGTCCCATAAACTCGTTTCGTTGTCCACAATCATTAGACCCAACGAAAACAAGAAATGGAATCTGCACTATTCCAAAAAGCGTATTCAAATTCAGTAAAACAATTACCCATAACCCCAAGATAGTCATGGAGCCCACGAGGAGGTTTTTCTTTGTGCTCATGGGATAAATGGAATCCATCGAAGTTCAACCGCCACGAATGGTCACCGCTTCTTGTCTCCGGCAACAAAAGTTGCTCTTCGGAGTCGTTGGTATTTATGTTTCCACCATTTCCCGTTCACTTGCACTTGAGAAAAATTGAAAAAATTCACTCTTAAATTGGAAGAAAAATGAGTAGAATGTGTAAATTTAGCGAAACTCGAAGGATTTTTTGGGGGAATAAATGATTCTGGTTGACAATAGCGGAATTTTTTGAACCATAAAATCTTTTGTAAATACTTTCTCTCCAGATGTCTCCGAGCACGGAGACTTTTTAGTCTCCGTGTCTATTATAAATATATTTTTTTGATTTAAATTTTTTTAAATTCTTTAATAAAACTTATTTTTTTAATTTTAATTAAATAATATTTATATATTCTTAATTTTAAAAAAGAAACAAAAAAATTATTATAATTTTTTTAAATTAAATTAAATTAAATTAAATAATTAAAATTAAGATAAAATATTATTTATTAAAAATAAAAATATTATGTTTTATCATAAAACGAATGAACTAAAAAGAATTTTAAATTAAAAAAATATTTATAATATGAAGAAAAAAATTTTAAAACAATTTTTAATAAAATATAATAAAAAGTTACTTATAACTAAAAAAATTATTCAAGTTATTTAAAAGTAATAAAAAAATTTATAATTATAAAAGCTACTTATAAATAAAAAAAATATTAATTATTCATTCTCTTATAATTGCAAAAGCTACTTATAAATAAAAATTATTAACTTATAATTTTTTAAGTATAAATATTTAGATATATTTAGTTTTTTACATTAAATACTAATAAAAAGATTACACTATTTAAAAAGTTACTTATAAGTAAAAAAAATCACTTCAAGTTATTTAAAACTAATAAAAAATTTATAATTGTAAAAGTTACTTATAGATAAAAAAAATATATTAACTTCAACATTTTTAAATAAATATTTAGGTATATTTAATTTTTTTAATTAAATATTAATAAAAAATTTTATAAAAAAAAAACCGATGCACGAAGTGTTGTTCATGCATATGTGCATGGAATGAAACCACTCATGAGTTTTTTATTACTTTTAAATAACTTAAAGTGATTTTTTTGTTTATAAGTAATATTTTACATTTCAGATAGTGTAATGTTTTTATTAATATTTAATTAAAAAACTAAATATATCTAAATATTTATACTTAAAAAAGTTTAAGTTAGTATTTTTTTATTTATAAGTAGCTTTTTCAATTATAAGAGAATGAGGGATTAATATTTTTTTTACTTATAAGTAGTTTTTATAATTATAAATTTTTTATTACTTTTAAATAACTTGAAGTGTTTTTTACTTATAAGTAATTTTTTACATTCTAAATAGTGCAATTTTTTTATTAATATTTAATTTAAAAGACTAAATATATCTAAATATTTATATTTAAAAATTTTTAAGTTAATATTTTTTTATTATAAATTTTTTTATTACTTTTAAATAACTTGAAGTGTTTTTTACTTATAAGTAACTTTTAATTTTTTATTAATATTTAATTTAAAAAACTGAATATATCTAAAAATTTATACTTAAAAATTTTAAGTTAATATTTTTTTGCTTATAAGTAGTTTTTACAATTATAAGTTTTTTATTACTTTTAAATAACTTGATGTGTTTTTCCTTATAAGAAACTTTTTACATTCTAAATAGTGTAAACTTTTTATTAATATTTAATTTAAAAAATTAAATATATCTAAATATTTATATTTAAAAAGATTTAAGTTAATATTTTTTTACTTATAAGTAGCTTTTACAATTATAAGAGAACGAGCGATTAATATTTTTTTATTTATAAGTAGTTTTTACAATTATAAGTTTTTTATTACTTTTAAATAAGTTGAAGTGGTTTTTATTTATTTATGAGTAACTTTATACATTCTAAATAATATAGTCCTCTTATTAATATTTAATTTAAACTCTAAATATTTACTTAAAAATGTTGAAGTTAATATTTTTTTATCTATAAGTATCTTTTGTAATTATAAATTTTTATTAATTTTAAATAACTTGAAGTGATTTTTTAATTTATAAGTAATTTTTTACATTTTAGAAATAAAGAATAAATTTTATGTAAAAAATTATTAAAAAATATTATTACTAATAAAATTATAGGACATGATCGATAATTGATAGCGTGAGAAAATAGAGAAAGAGTAATATGTGTCAGATTCAAAACATGTAAACTACGGGTAAAATAGAAAATGACGTCGTTTCTGCTCCACTAATTAAAAAAAAAACTACAGTGTGACAAAATATTATTTAAAAAAATAATATTATTAATAAAATTATATAATATGGTTGATAGTTGATAGCATGAGAAAATGGAGAATGTGTATTGCGTGTAGATTCAAATGACCAAATCAATTTTAAACCAATTCAATGTGAAAATCATTGTGACAAAAATAAAAAGTACACCTCACATTATCTCTTTTATGGTAAGGAGTGATTTAGATATATTTAATTTTTTAAAATTAAATATTTATTAATAAAAATTTACTATAAAAAAAAAAAATATATATATATATATATATCACCACTCCGTGCAAGGAGTGGAATCACTCCCCGTAACACTCCATGCAAAAGGAGAGTTCTCTCCGTCCACGGAGGATATATATGTATATATAATTTGTTCAATTTTAATTAATTAAATAACATTTATATATTATTTATTTAATTTTTGTAACTTTACTATATTTTATTTGTTTAATTTGATTTAATAAAATAATATTTATGCACTTTATGATAGAACGACATTCGTTAAATTTGAATTAAATAATATTTATTTTTAAAATCATTTTTATTTAATTTAAAAAGTTTATAATACATTTTTTCTATTTTTGTCTGCAATTTCTATTTAATTTTGTTTCTTTATTATATAATATATAGTATAGTATTGGTTTTAATCAAGTGAAGTATCGTGTGAAAAAGGAGAAATATTGTAGTGGAGATGATATTGCAGTGAAACGATATGTGAAAATGGTGAAATGGCGTGTGAAAAGAATGCTACAGTGTGATTGAATAGAATAATTTACTGTTGTCAAATCGATTTCATGTGAAAACCTATGTGACAAAGATGAACGGTAAATCTCACTTTTTCTCTTTTAAGATAAGGAGGGATATATGCTACCAAATTGAAGCTTATTGTCATAGACGTATCAAGTTACAAAGTTCGATCTAGGCATGTGTCCGACCTAGGATGGAGATTTCTCTGATGAATGATCATCGTTGTACCAAGGCCATAACCTTTCGCTTTAAGCTATCACGGCTTTCTTTTAATTGGTTGACGGGGGCAATGCAATAACCAAGGGAAAACTTTTTACAATCACACCATAACGACATTTCTAGATGATATCTCCCATGATCCGACCTATGTAGGGAGGTTCTAGGGGAAACTTGATTTAAGCCTCAAATACAGGCTATTTTTTACAGATACCGTCGTGACAGCATTCTGTCAACCCGTTTTTCTCTATTTTCTTTCTTCTTCCAATGAAAATTAGCCTAAGGGTGTGTTTGATAGGACTGGAATTCCATGGAAAATGGAATTGAAATTCCAACTTTCTATTTTTTGTGTATTTGATTGACAAAAATTTTCATGAAATTCGCTTTCCACATTTTCATGCCACATAGACTTTTTTCCATGTTTTGGAAGAAAATGAATTCTCTTCAAAATGGTGAGAATTCATTTTCTGGTTTACTATAGCATTTTTTTTGTTTATTTTATTTTATTTATTTTTTTTGGCAATGAAAACAAATTCTAAGAATTATTGTCAAAAAATATTTCTTTTTAATTGACAATTTACATGTAAAACAAAGTCAAACGAATACCAAAATATGGATAATTTCATTTGATTTTTTTTTTTGCAATGGAAACAAATTTCATTCCCAATACCAGTAAAATCTATCTCTTTAAATTTAATTAACAATTTTCATGTAAAACAAAGCCAAACGAACACAAAAAACACTTTTATTTCAACATTTTTCACGTGAAAAATTATACTAATCAAACATAATAATTTACAATTTTTAGAAAAACAATTTTTAGGCAATTCAATTCCCTGAAATTCGTTTTTTTCCACTCAAATTCCATCTTTATAATCAAACGGATCCTAAGTGTTATTCCTGTAAGTATTTTGTGAAATTCTTCACGTTCATGTGGGTAAATGCATTAACTAGATCAGATCAAATGGTGTGTGTGGATTTTCGGTGGGATGGGGTTTATTTATTTATTTTTTTCTTTTTCTTTTTAATTATTTTATTGGAAAAATCATCCATTTGTCTTCTCTGTTTCAATCAACTGAAAAGGTTGAGATGGTGGTTGTCACAATTAAAAGAATAGGATAGAAACTGTAATTTCGCAACCACAAATTTCCCTTAAGCTAATGATGAATACTTTTCAAAAATATCCCTATTGGCCCTTAGTAAAGTTGCAAAAGTTTCCGCACTTACTTTATTGGACAAACCTTTTCAGCCCGTTTCTGTTTTCCTCTGGATTTTCCATATTCCATTTACGCCAGCTCACGTGACAAAGGAACTCTAGTCACGTGATCTCTTAACACATGGAAATCCAATTGCACGCGCCCCCAGCGAGTGCATTTGACCGCCCACCACATCTTGTTGCTACTGCGGAAGAGGCTATCGCTGAAAAATATTTACTGTGTTTGTTTGGTAGGGATTTTAATAATGAATTTTTGTTATTGTTAGAAATAAAGTGAGTCCTACATACGAATAAAGAATTCAAAAATGACAGTTGAAATAGTAAAATAACGATCAAATAATTGGTTTTAATTGACTTAAAATCTGTACTAAACAAGTACTTAATCAACAGCACGAGCTTAACATTAGTCCTCTAAATTTATATCAAAGGCGTAATGTGTTCTAATTTTTAAGTAGTAGTGTCAAAATGGATTAGGACAACGAGGTATAAAGTGATTCATCAAATTTGAACTGTTCAATCGATCTTGAATTACGTCGGATCATAGTCTTATCAATCTAAATTAGGCACCCATTTGTAACCTCTATTTTTTAATTTTTAAATGCCACGAGACAATCATTATTGGTTGCATGCAACTTTTTTAAAGTTTTATTTTAGTGCCTTGATATGACCTTCCTTTGCCTCGTTTGGCGGTTTTTAATTTAATTTGAGTCACATATTCATTTTCAGACAATAAAATATTTTACACATAAATTCAAAATTGTTTTTCTATTTTTTAGTCATATTTTTTTCAAAAATATACCATTCAAAATATAATTTTTTATTTTTAAATTGAAGGACATCAAACAAGGGCTTAAACGAGCACAACCCTCATATTCAAATGTGCTAGGTTACATTTGGTACACTCAGTCCCTTTTTAACTCCATCTAAAGCAAACTAATTTATTTCACATACTCATTTTCAATCATATTTAATAAATAAACTATTTGGCATCTAAATCCAAACATTTTCTCCACAATTTACTATATATTCTCCAAAAAATCACTATTCAAAACCTCTTTTTTACACAATAATAATCATCAATCAAGGGATTAATTTTATTGATTCTCGATTTAGACTATATCGAGCTTGCAAACTAAATCGTCTTAAGTCCTTGTTTGATTTAGCTAAAAATCAAAATTTTAGTAGATTTTTTGATGTAAATTGACGAACTTTCTAATTGAAAGTTGTAGATTTCATAAAATGTGTGGTCGAAAATTAATTAAAGAAAAATGATTTTTAAAAATAGGAACCAAGCAAGAGCTAAAACTTCATTTTCTAAATATAAGTTCTTATGGAAACGATGCATACTTCAAAATTCTAATATTTAGCTCATTTCTTAGACTAAAATACTAAGCACGTTGTTCAACAACTCGACTTTTAAATAATCTATTTAATAGGGATTAAAAATTAAATATTAATCTAAATTAAAGTCAATAATTAATTTTTATTACATATTTTATGGAACTCACAAATTTTCAATCACACATTTTATTAAATTTTATTAAAATTTAATTTTAATCCATATCGAATAGGGGCTTAAGTCTCTTACAAGCCTTGTACTTTTTTTTATCATTAAATGTAAAATTTCATAAATCAAAACTCATTTACAAGTACACTAAAATTCTCGAGCAATCAAAGATCAAGTCAAATACAAGTACATTGGATATATCCAGGCAGTCAAGAACCAAATGAAGTACACTGGATATATCCAGACGGGACCTCGGCTATTATTCAAGCAGTTCCTCATTATGTTTGTATTACACGCTCCGGCACAGAGAGTGGGCTAGCATTTAAAACTGTGAAATATGAACAGCAGACGGACTCTAAAAATGTCTGAAGTAACCACGCACTTGGTACAAAAAAGTCTTTCACGGGCGTCACCATCTTTGTTGTACTCTTCGAGCTCTCCTCAACCCCCCCAACTCCCCCTACGTACTGTCTTCCCTTTCTTTCTGCGAAAAAAATCTGAGGATGAAGTGGGCGCCACCCATAATTAGCAGCGCCACCGCAGGCGGTGAGGGAAAGGCGGTGGTGTTCAAGTCAAAGCTGAAATGGGTTGGACTGGTTGGCCTTGTTCTATCAACTCTCTCTCTCTTCACACATTTTCTTCTTGCCAGATACACTGCTGGGACTGCTCTCTCCGAGTATCAATCTTCCATCACCATTTTCTCTTGGAGGCCCATTTTTGACACTGCACATCTTTCCACCACTGTAATGTGCAACTCAAAGATCTCATATTTTTACTCTGTTTCTGCTGGAATTTCGTTTGTTTTAGCCGTATAAAGTTTTCTGCATGTTTAAAACTTGAATCTGAGATTCTTTTTCCTGTAATTACTTGATTTTGCTTGAATTACACTAAACCATAAAAGTTTAAGATTTATCTGGAAAAAAAAAAGGTATTACTGTTTTCCAGAATATTCAAGTTTTATTGTGGTGGGTCAATAACAAGTTAACAACTTTTCGTTCATTTGGTTACTTTTTTGAGTTTTGAACTCGACACTTTGAGTTCCAATGTCTCTCATCGTGTTATATCATAATTATGGCTGATTTTTTGGTTTTCTAAAAAGTTGTGAACAGCCATTAGGGAGTTTTGTTTGGCGTTAACTGTCACTTTGATTTCATATTTTTTCTATTATGCAGAGTGGATTACAAAGGAGACTTTGGGGGCCGATAAGGCATCTTGAATCTTTACATCCTTATGCGAATCCCCGGGGAAACTATCCGGGTTAGATTTCGTCCAATCTGCTTATATATCATTGTAAAATGGGGATTCACTGAATGGTCTCGTGGCTCTAATCACGAGATTTATTGAAATCCTAAACTTGTATCTAATTTTTTAGATACAAGTTACGTGAGCTGATAGTTATCTTTTTGTCAATTCTTGAGGCCTCTAGTTCAGATATTACGATCGGATGCGATTTATTGTGTTTGAACTATAATCTTGCAGCTCCAGTTTTGCGAACAAATGGATTCATCTTTGTAAAAATAAGAGGGGGTTTTCATGAGATCAGGAACTCGGTGAGCACATGCTAATATTATGGATTTGACAAATTTCCCCTCAAAATCTGCTAAAAAGGCTTATGTTTTGCTGTCAGATTTGCGATATTGTTGTGGTTTCTCGACTGCTCAATGCTACCTTAGTCATCCCTGAGATTCAATCCACGACAAGCAGCAAGGGAATTAGGTAGATTTCCATACCCTTATTGTCGAATTTTTCTACTATACATAAAATTAGGAAAATTTGCAAAATGGATCCCCAACCTATTGCCCAAATAGCAAGTTGTTCTTCAGCCTGTAGTTATAGTTACAATCAGTCTCACAAATGAAAGAAACCGTCTCATGGAAACATGCTTGACTTCAAATTTCTGGGCGCCAAGCCAAGTTATAAAATGAAACCATGCTTCATAATGTTGGACACTTGATGGCCATGAGATCACTTTATTTAAATATTTGGACAATTTCCATTGCTAGGACTAGTTAGACCAACTTGCTACTTTCGCAATAGGTTGTGGACCAATGGTGTAGCTTTCCTGCATAAACTATGGGGATTGGTTACTTATTTTTTCTGTTTCTTGAACTAATCTACTATTTTTCTTTCAAAATTGTAATTCCTCATGTTTTTTGCAGCACAGAGTTTAAGAGTTTTGCCTACCTCTATAATGAGGACCAATTCATGTCTGCTTTATTAGAAGATGTCAAAATTGTCAAAACACTTCCAAAGAATCTCAAAGGATCAAGGAGAAAGAAAGAAATTCCTTCTTTTAGAGTGTCCAGCACGTCGTCTCCATCTTTCTATCTGCATTATGTTCTGCCAGTATTGATTAGGCACTCGGTGGTCGAGATTGTTGTAGCTGATGGTGGATGCTTGCAGGTAATGTCTGTAGCCTGATGCGACCTCTGATCCTTAGGTTTAAAAAGAATTCTTCTTGAACGTGAATGATTTTGCAAGTTGTGTAATATTAATAACGTTAACTTTCATGCTATTTGATGTAGTTGAAGATTGCCAATTTTCCTCGTCTTTTCTGTTTGTGCTGTAGAGGCTTTCAATTATTATTGTAAGTAAAAGAATAATAATTGGCTAAAAACTGTTGAATAATCCCGTTCACAACAACAAGAAGTTAATCCTTCATATTGATTAGATTCTGAATTTGACAATATAAATCTTGCTACTCCATTTTATCCACCCTATTTACCAAAGGACCGATGAAATTAAGCCTATGTTTGGCTCATGTTTATGAACTTTACAAACACTCAAGCCACTTTTTATCCACACATTTCGATGACCCTACAAGTATTATCCACTTTTGGCTACTTGTTTCTATCTATTTATAATTTAAACTGTTTATAAGCACTTCCCAAATATGCTTTAAATGTTCCAATCACGTAATTTTTAACTCGTTCTACTCAGATTTGGTTGCTCTTATGATTGAGACCTCTTTGGCCTATCTGAGACCATTGTCTCCAAAAGCATCCGTGTGAGTATTCCATTAGGGTCTCAAAACTTATCCTCTAATGTCAAATCTCATGCCTTGAATGTTAGAGCATAAGCCATGGGTGGCAGAGGAAACATTACTTTGTCTTTCCCTTTGTGGGCCTTTTCCCAGTCTTCCCTTTTTGAACTGATTTCCCCTATAGCCCAGAATGTTGAGGGAATATTGGGCTATTTTAAACTCAGCTCAATCATCTAACCCTTATTTCCCTGAGTTTATCCTCATTTCATTTCATCTTTTCCTTATTTCTTATTTTGTCAATGTATGGTTTAACATCCTTATTCCTGCTATGTTCATTATATGGATGTTGTCCTTTAACGACCTAACCAAGTAACCATTTTTGTATAACTTGTCATTAATACTAGTAGATATCTATCAATCACATAATCTTCATGGAATGTTAATCCGCTTTAGTTCATTACAACTTTTTTCAAGTCTTCCACTTTGATCCTGAAATTTTGTAATATCTTTCTGACATTTGATTTAAGTATCTTCAATGTACAGCCTAATTTAAAAATGTTCATCATATTTTCTATTGATCGTGATATTGTCTCAGTCTGTACTTCCGCCAACACTTGAAGAGTATCAAAGGCTCCGATGTAGGGTTACTTTTCATGCCCTAAGATTGAGAGACGAGGTCCGGGAACTTGCCACAAAAATTCTGTACAGGTCTACTATTACTCCCAATTATTATTGATTAAGGAGATAATTTTATTTTTATATGCTCATTTATACTCTATATGTAGACTGAGAGCTTCTGGACGACCATTTATAGCCTACGACCCAGGAATGACTAGAGATGCTTTAGCATATTATGGTTGTGCCGAACTCTTTCAGGTATATTTTAGAAGTTTTGGACATGTGATTGATTAATGATTAATTAATGCTTTAGTTTAAATTCACATAGTTGATGCAGCATCTAGAGAAATTTGTGATTGGATTCTCCCGCAGGATGTACATACTGAACTCATACAACATAAGCGAGCATGGATGATAAAACGTGGAATTGTCAAGGGAAACCTTTCTGTGGATTCGGCCAAACAACGCCTTAATGGGTTATGTCCACTGATGCCGGAGGAGGTATTTTCAGTTTTAATTATCTCTGTTTTCTCAAGAGTTTATGCTAGTATTTTGGTACCCTACCCTAGTAACACTATAATCTTAGGAATGTTTGGTACAAAGTATTTATTATAGCACGGTTGAAAGTGATTATAAGCTGTAGGTTATATGGGATGTGTGGATAGTAAATGAGTTGTAGCTGTGGGAATTACGAAATGTGTGGATAAAGTGATCAGCTTTGCCAAACATTCACTTGATACTGTCTAGGATGTGCAATCCAGCTTACCAAATATGCCTATGGTTATTTAACTTTTGTTGGTAGCATGCTATTTGACCCAGATCTTTAGAACTATTTGACCCAGATCTTTAGAATCTGTTTTACTGTTTTACCTCATTGAAAAACGGAGCATCTGTTTAAATTGCTGCCCAAATTCACCTCATGCTCGTTTCCTGACCCCCTCCCCGCCCCGGCGGGGGGGTGTTCTTTTTCATTTTCGTTTTTGGGAAATAGTGTGGTGGAAGAGTGGTTGAAATCTTGACTGCTGGGAAAAATAATAGATCACACTTTTGTTGTTCATAAAAGGCAATCGTAAGCTGGTTATCTGTTGAGGATTGAGCTCATTTATGGCATGTCCAGCTACTGAATGTAAGCAAAAGTTACTTTTAAGGCATGTCTGGATAAGTCAATATTATCTTACTTTTGAAGTGAAAATATTTATTTTGAAAGTCTTACCTTATTGTCGAAATAAGTTACTTATTTCCAATTTTAATCATTAAAACTTATTTACTTATAAGTAAACCTTTATGGTTTAGCCAAACATGCCCATAGTCACTTCATAGAAGGTAACTTCTTGAATGACAATCATCTAGGAGCACAACTCATTATAGTCAAATGAAGCTTTTCTACAGGTTGGTATAATTCTTCGAGCATATGGCTACTCACGGGACACAATTATTTACATATCTGGGGGAGAGGTCTTTGGTGGACAGAAGAAATTAATTCCACTCCACGCTATGTTTGAGAATGTTGTAGATAGGACTTTGTTAAGCATGCCATGGGAGTTGACTCAAATGTATGGCCGTGAAGCTAATCTTGTCGACAAATACCATAAAATGTCCCCTCCGGCTAAAGAAGAAAGAAAAATGGAAGCATGGAAAACTTCCGGACCACGTCCTCGTCCACTTCCACCGCCACCTGCACGTCCAAAAACATACAATATCGAAGGTTGGTGGGGATGGGTAGCCGAGAGTGATAATGAACCAGAAAGTACAGTCGTGGAGTTGAGAACCAATGCTCATAAATTGCTATGGGAAGCAATAGACTACACGATCTGTGTGGAAGCGGATGTGTTCATTCCCGGATTTGATCGTGATGGTAAAGGAAACCCAAATTTTGCTAGCCTGGTAATGGGACACCGACTCTATCAATCTGCTGCCTCTAAAACATATCGCTTCGACAGGTAATTTTATCATTCTAAAGAATTTTATCAGTGTCCTATGTTCTATCTTGTCTTTTGAGTCTAATTCTCCTTCTAACTCGTCTTTCTTTTGATTTATTTAAGGGTTCTTGTAACCATTGTCTTTTCCATTATCAAAGTCAGGTTCCTCTTCTAATTTTATTTTATTTATAATTTTGTCTCTTCCTGCAATATAGGAAAGAAATCGTCAAGCTTTTAGAAGAGATTCGTGATCAATTTTACCAAGCCAATCATACATGGATAACATCAGTACGCAGACATCTTAGAAAAAACTTGGTCGATGGATTATCTAAGGAATCCACAATATCAAAACCACTATCTTTTCTCTCGTTCCCAGTTCCCGAGTGCACTTGCTCAAAGATAGACTCGACCAAAGTATCATCTCGTGCTTTGAGCCCTTCATCAAACTCCCGGTTTCCTAATGCACTTGGAGTTATCCATCAGTGTCCATCTTGGATGAATGTTGATATGGTTTCTGGACCAAGGGGCGATGAAAGTGAAGAGGATCTTGGTGAAGATGATTTCTCATCAACCGGACTTCTCTTCCAGCAGAGTACTGAAAATAACGACGGAGGGGGTGAAATGAGCAGTAAAGAAGACACTCAAATCGAGGATCAAGAAGAACTTGAAGGTAGTGAAAGATGAAAAGAGGGTTTGTCGGATTTTATTATCTAATCCTTCTAACCATTCATAAACCTTTACGTCTTTTATGACTGTTCCAACTGGTTCAAGCTCGGGTACTGTCCTCAAATCAAGTTTTTGTCATATCAAGATTGGTCCAGAGTAATCGCATTTAGAGACGGTTTGATGGGAGCCAAAATGTACTCGTTCTGTTTATATTCTTAAGACAGGTTCTATGAGACGCAGAGAATTGTGGAAGGAATTTATTCTCCCCACTACTATTGCAAAAATACTGTTGTAATCCACCCGACCTAGTGCTTTGAGTAGTGCTTCTTTGTCATCGTCATGAAATAGGAACTGACTGTAAATTTCTTTGAAATGTAGAACTAATTTGAACATAGTTCTGCCACAGATTTGTAGTTAAACTTGACCAAGTTTCTTTTACTTGCAGATCTGTTGAGGTGTTTTGTAATTGCATTCTCATATTCTGGGCATTGCAGGTGTAAAACGTGCTTGCATGCTTTAACATGAATTTCGGATTAAGAAACTTACTTGAAATGATGAATTCCAAGATCTTTTAAATAGTTAAATCACCATGCATTTCAAAACTCCAAAATCTGCATTTTCTTGTTCTTCAATGGTCACAATCCGATTACAATGGAAGATGATTATTCTCCACAATAAGTGTCAATTTTTGTGAGATTTCAAGCTAAAAATCTAGTTCTAGGAATTTTCAAATATTGTGAATTTCCATACGAGAATTCACTATTTTATTTTTCATGCCACTATTTTTTTTATTTTCTCCATAACTTTTATATAGAGGTTGTAGAAGTTATTTTGAAAGTTGTAGATTTGGATTCCAAATTCAAATTACTCACTCCAACCCTTTTAAAATCTTGCAGGTCGAGTCATCACATGGACGACCCATTACCTGTATTTTCTAAACATAGGTTAAATGCTAGATTTTTGCTGAGCAGACATCCTTTCTTTCTCATTTGACAACTCAGAATGCATATAGTTCTTTTGGAGATTTAGCATTATTACTTATTTTGTCAAGACTAATATCCATTTCGGGAGATGCAATTTGACTAGATATTCATGAATCATCTTATTATCGATTATGGATCTCTTTCTTTTTTTTAGTTTACTTGATTTGTATACTTCTACTCTCTTGATCGAAATAAGAGAATTGAATTTACTTTTAATAATCCCTTTCTTATTATTATTTTTTTAGATGGCACTTTTGATAACCCATTTTTTTGACGTGCTTTCATTTTCTTAACCCTCGAAAAGAAACTACTGGGGATAAGAAGTTTTCCTTTAGGGTGGTATTACTTCTTGTCCTTTGGCATGTTAGATTATACGTTATCTTGATTTCAATTGAGGATACTTTGTTCAATTTTATTAATGATAACCTATGACAGAAAACAACTTCATTGAAATAAATGACGAGAATAATTTATTGATTTTTACTTCATCAATTTTTGTCAATTCAGGCGATAGAATTAGATGAAGGTACTCGATTAAAATCAAATTAAAGTATAGTTATCTAATGAAACAAAATTAAAGAGCAGTTTTCGTAATTGAATTAAAGTGAAAATATAGTTATCGTGAATTGATTTACCAGTAGTGAAACTGTTAATAGACTTAGTGACTAAATTAGTAATAAAAGTAATTTAAGGACAAATTTGAATTCTTGCACAAACTTCAGCGACTATTGATGAAATTAATTATTATTATTAGTATTATTTTTTTAAAATTTTTACGTAACGTGATTTCTATTCAAAGCAACAAATACATTAAATAATTTATTTTGATTAAAGAATAGGGCTCAAACAACAGCTTAATGATAAAGAGGACCATATCTTAATCTTAATAGATAAAATATTAAAAAAATAGGAACAATATCTATAATGATTTCAAATATAATCGTTAATATACTCTGGTTTTCCCAATGATTAAGATATTTGTTGATATTTTATTTAGATTATTGTATCAAATATGCATGAGAAGTTTATTAATCAATGAAAAATCAATTCCACAAAAAAGGGCCAACTTCTATTTATATATAGAAAATGTTACACGATCGAAGAAGCATAGTACACTTCGAATGACATGTACACTATATATTCAAGTTGACCATCCACCTCTGAAAGTTGCATAGGTGAATAGATTATGGTCACAAGATCTCAATAAAGATTGATAAAAAAATCACTTCGGACGAAAGGGAAAATTTCTTCGGGCAACTTATCTCACTACTCGTGCTACCACCACCATCATAGATCAATCATAGCTTTCAACAAGAAAACCTAGAGTTGGAGATCAATCCTAGTTCACCATTATGCCCCAAGCGCTACCCTTCTCCAGCAATTAGAGTAATATCATCGCCTGAATATTACACATCCCAAGAAAGAGCATTGTAGCTTGAGGAGAATGAGATAGCATGGTGAGGAAGTAAAAGGGGCCATTCCCGGCATGAACTAGGAGATAGTTCAAATATTACATATGGGCTTAGCTCAAACCTATTTTATTTCGCTTTATTCAGATATAATGGTGTTAGAAATACAATATTTTGTACAACATGGTTGATAAAGTGGTCAAATAGCAATCCCTTATGAGAGTACAAGATGATTGACAAACTGGCCAAGTGATGGCCCCCATTGGAGAGCTCCAATAGGGTTAGCCACTTGCCTCCAATAAGGGGTCGCCACTTGACCACTTTGTCAATCATATTGTACAAAATATTGTACAAATAGAATAATTCATTCAGATATTGTAAAAATCTTGTTAAATTGATTAAAGAGCTACCTGTCACCTTTTACTATCAAGAGAAACTCACTAAAAAAGCTAGCAAGTGCATCGTATAATGTACATTACTATTTATAATTTTACTACAAGATTTATCAAACTAAAAACCAAACAAGATATATATATGGATATTTTGACTATCCTATGTATAAATACTGTCGAGTAATCGCTTCACTTTGGGGACAAAATTGTGAAGTCGACAGCTCTAACAGTTTAACGAACAAGATTATTGAATCACCCTTAATCTGTAGGCTTATGATTGTTGATTGGGGGCTTCCGACGGGGATTGTTGAGGCCCTTGTAGTCCCTTCGTAGCATGTTTACAACCTCATCGGATTGTGAATTGCCTTCTTTCTCCGTAGAAGAAGAACTATTAGATGGTGTTATGTTGGGATCGATAGAATTTGGTGGCATCGGAATTGAAATTCTTGAATTTGCTTCAGATTTTTGTAAAGCAGTTCTGTGTTTTCCTGTAGCAAAGTACCTTAAAACAGTATTAATAAAGAAAAAGAAGCCCATATATAATATTGGTGTGCCATATCACTAGTACTTAACATAAACTAAGCACTAGTGCCCATTAAATTATTTCCCCATATATATATATATATATAAAGTACTTAAAATCAATTATAATTTTTACATTTCTTTAATCAACTATAAGATTTGCAAAGTTTACAACAAAAGAAAGATTTCATGGAACAAAAACACAGTCCTATAAAGAATTAGACTAATTTCTATATAGTGATCACACATATGATTATTTTTTAGCAAATTAGGTTACAAAATCAACTTAAATAATTTCTGTTTTCATTGTAATTAACTTCTCTATTTGCGTCAAATTAAGTTAAATTGCACCGAGATTATTTGATTATTGTGTTCTTACCTTGCTCCTTTAATTTCTCGATATCTTGATTAATCGACGACGAATATTTTAACAGCAATTTTCTCCCTCGGAGACTGTTTCTACCATCAACATGATCAACAGAAGCAGCAGAAAAAGTACCACCCTGCAATCATTTAAGTAACTTACTTAACATAAGTACTTATATTATTCCAAGAAAGGAAAAAGAAAATAATTAATATTAGAAATTTTTAACGAGGAAGCCTACATTTTCAAGATAAGCATCCTTTTCTTTTCCAGTTATTCCATAACCTGTAAAAACATAAGAAATAAAGAGAAATTAATTTCCTGAATTTGTGATTAGAAAAAAAAGAAAAAAGAAAAAAAAAGCTGCTCTCAAGTTATTGAGAAAAACCCTAATCAGCTACCTTCATAGCCATTCGCAGCAGATAAATGTAGGACTGGCAAAATGACAATTAAACCTAGTATAAATCCTGCATAATAACTTGCAGACGCCATAAGTACTTTTTTCTTTCTTGAAAAAAAGTTTCCATTAATTCAATAACCAGAAGAAGCTGTGTGGGTTTTTATAGAGTTCAAACCAGAGTCAAAGCTAGGGTTCTAGTTCCTTAGTTTTCAATATATATTATATTTATAATATTGAATTATATGTATAAGTGCGACTTAGGAAATTCCATCAATAAAATAACATGATTGAAGGAACTATTGTTGAGATTGTCCCATATTGATTGTGAATGACGTTGGTATTCAGTTCATAAGTGTGAGGGAAAACTTTATCTCTTGAGCTAGTTTATAGGATAAGAGAGGCCCAATATCATCATCACTGGTATCAAAGCCTAATTTATCAACAAGTATCTGGTCCAACAGTCACGGAGATACGAGTTTGTGTTAGGGGGACACAGATTTGGTCTCTCGCAGGCTCCGTTGTATGAGGGGGAGACGGATTTTATAACCCGCAAAACCCGATGTGTGAGGGATAGATTGTTGAGGTTGCTCCACATGGATTGTGGATGAAAATGGTATTCAGTTTATAAGTATGAGGAAAAGCCTCACCCATTGAACTAACTTTTGTAGTGAGAGAGGCATAATATCACCCAACAACTATAATCGAAAATCTTGAACTTAAACTTTTATGTCAACATAAGACAGTTATTTACATTTAATTTTCTTGTGTGATTCTCAATTTGTTAGGATTAAAAGTTGAAAGAAGTCAAAAAAATAAAAATAAAAAATGACTTAATTTTACAATTTTTTTGGCAGCTTATGTTATCATCAATCAAAATTCAAGTTGGTCATCAAATTTTTTCCAACTCATTCGTCATTAAAGTTTATAACAGTTTCACATCGTCACTCAATTAAAATTAAAATTAATATATAGTTTGTTGTGGTATCCATTAAGTTTCAAGCTGGTCCTTCTACATATACCATTTGGGTTTCTTAGAAAAGAAGGTGCAATATTTCTTCCTAGAGGACCATAATTATCAGATTGTACATCTTCCTAACCGATTCACTTAATGAAATCTTTATAAACTTTAGCAATTAAATGGATTAAAGAAAAATTACAATGACCAATTTGAAATTTTGCACAAATTTCAGTGACATGGGTGAAACTAACCCTCAAACTTGCATGGTGGTTGTGTATGATAGAATAATGTTGCTCTATTCTAGCATGGGTTAATTAATTATGCTAATGATCGAAGTTATTTTCTTACGATAATAATCATTCAAGGTCACTCTTGGTAAAAGAAAAAAACAATGAATCTACTTGGCACGATTAAGTGCCAATAAATCTCAAAGTACATTGCTTATTACGCTAAGTCATCAAAAAACGTTGTGAAGAAACAAAACTTTCGCTTACCGTACGATTTAAGTCCAAAATATAATCAAATCTAAGGTCGCATTGTTTTTTTTCTCATATAAACAAGTTTAATTCTCAATTCTTAACTCTATTTTTGCTTAGTCGACATAATAAATAATGTTGTTTGAGGACACGTCGCCACATAGGAGTTGATGTAATTTTTTTTTTTGACCAAGTGATCATGTGTATAATAACTGAAACCTTGAATGACTATTACTATAAAAAATGACTAATCAAAACTTCAATGACTGCAAATTCTTATGAGACATGCATTTTGTTCAAGACAGCATGTTAATTACGAAACCAGAAGCATGACATTTCAGATTAATTAATTAAAAGCAGGTGGAATATTTTGCATACCAATGCATGAGGAGCTGCTTAATTTTGTGTTTAATTTATTAACTAAGATCAACAAGTGGCATAAATTCTCACTTCCAAGAATATCATGCACAAGAATCAAATTGTAAAGAGATTTGAAGAACGTGGGCAAGTGATTTCGCCTAGAATTAGTAACCGCTTGTCACTAATTTTTAAAGCATAGGAATCTTATCATTTCGAGTAACACGTGTGACCATATATTGACTATCTCGTCTAAAAATTTAAAATGTCAAAAATTGATCACTTGTACAAAATTATCTTCAATATGGCCGTCAACTACAAACTAGCGTAATTTTTTTTTTGATCAAATAACAACGTAATCTTAGAGGAAAAAAAAATGAGAAAGAATTTACGGACTCACATTAAAATTATGTCAAGAATCTTGGTATTAATTATAAATTAATTGAGTTAGAATATGTTGATTAAAAATACATTTCAAAAGCCATTCATTATAGTTTAAAATATGAGTACATTTTAATATTTTAAACTTGAATTAATTTGCAAGTACAAATTTTTTTAACAGAAGTGACACAGAAAAAACAGTTGTCTTTCTGTGATTTACTGTTGTCAAAAAATGTTTTTGACAACAGCCAATTATAAGAAGACAACCGTCTTTCTGTACAAATTATATAAAAAAATCTGTACTTATAGCATTGCTGTTTATACTTTTAGATAGTCAGTAATTTTATATAAAACTTAGAATTTGGAAAGTCCTATACTCTCAATCGTTGACAAATTATAAATAAATTGTGAAAATTCTGAAATGAAATATTTGAAAAAAAAATCCTATAAATTATAAATACAAAAAATAAACAAAATTTATTTGATTTTCATTAAAAAAGGATTATTATCCTTTACCAGTGACATAGGTCTTGGTAATCCCAGGGTGCCACCGACGCCCACGCCCCCGGTGCATAGGTGGAAATATCAAGGACAATTCTTCTTGGACAGCAAAACCCAAACGTTTCAAGGATTCTAGATTATTATTATTATTATTATTTTTTTTTTTGATATTCTGGTATCCACCTTACAGTAACTAAATCCTGAAGTCTACATCTTGGCCCCTCAAGCTGCAGACAGGTTAAACCACAAGTTGTGCTCCAAACTGACCAGTGCTCAAGAGTCTCCCCAACTGATCTGCCAAAGTGCCAAACAAGTCGTTTCTCATCTTTGCATCTTGCCTTCCAATAGAGCTCCTGCCTTCCAGGAATCGAACTCACGACCTTTGATCTGTCAGCCTTGAAGCGCCCTCATCTTTACCTGTTAAGACGTGCCCTCGGGGGCAAGGATTCTAGATTTTACCTTTACCAAGTAAGGTGACTTGCTTTCTTCTTGGGATAGATAATCAGCAATAGGTAATCAAAACTACATTATTCTCTACAATCATGTTCTACAGTCAGAGTTAATGACAATTTTTTTTCAGACAACACTTAATAGATTTTCATTGAAAATTAAGAAAAAAGACACAAACACAATCAATCACAGGCTGCTTAATCACCATTTCCCCCCTATTTTTAATCTCTGTTTGTTTAACATTTTTGAATTCTCTAAAACTCTTTTTTTCCACGATAAAATATTTCACAAGAAAATTCAAAATTTATTCGTACTTTTTAATTACATTCTCTAAAAATGCATTTTCCAAATTTTTTTAATGAGCATCAAACTAGGCTAATAAGAATGACGGCTATAGGAGCATTTCCAACCCTCACGGCCTCACACTATTTCATCAATTTTCACCATTTTGCACCAAAAGTTTGGTTCAATCACTTCCCACTCCAAAATCATAATTTGCACCATTTTCCACCAAAATAATTAATGTCCTTTCTGTCCTAAATTTTCATTTTGCACGAAATTTTTGTTTAAGGTACTTGTGTCCATTTTTATTATACATTTTTGTAATACGATTTATTATTATTATTATTATTATTATTATTATTATTATTATTATTATTATTATTATTATTATTACTACTACTACTACTACTACTACTACTACTACTACGCATTGCATTATTTTTAATGACATGATTTAATATATTTTTTAGTTGTGGTATTTTGATTAATTGTACTATATTTTTAAAATTTATTAATAAATTCAATATTTTTGTTAATTTAACGTAATTATTTATTTTGTAATTTATATAGTAGTAAAATAAATAAATAATTTTTCAAAAAAATAAATTGTTAAGAATGAAAAAAATGATTAAATATTATCCATTTGGTGCAAGTTTTGGTATAATGTATTGAAGATTATTTTTAATTTGGCGCAAAATAATATAAAAATTATTTCAAATTTTGGTGCAGAGTTAGAGATGACCTAATTAAGAATTCTATGATAACGAGGAAAATTTCTTTTTACATATTTATTCTATTTGATGGAAATTAAAATTAAGTCAATAATTAATTTTAATAATACATTTCATAGGATCCACAAATTTTCAACCACTTATTTTATTAATTTTTATCAAAATTTACTAAAAATCTAATTTCTAACTACATCAAACAAGGGTATTGTAAACATTTATTCTTATTTGTTGCACCTAATGTATTGTATGTATTGTTCGATATTGTATTCCGAACTAGTAGAGTGAATGTGCGTTGCATGTAAGTTGTTTAATATTAAAAATAAGTGTGTAAATTTACAAAAAATCATTTCTGAATGACAATATCAAAGGACAAGATCTAATCTACAAGAAGAACCACAAGCATTGAACAAAAAAATTTACATCTCAATTTCCTAACACAAATCACAAAATTTCATGGGAACATCAAAAAATTGAGGGAATAAATTTATGTAATTTTGTATCTTGTTAATAACTAAATCAAACATTAAAAGGATAAAATAATCAAATAGGGAACCAAAAGATCAAACAAAAACATTGAAAATTCCAAAACTGAGGGATTTTGAAAATGAATAATATAACCACATATGATGCAGGCAAAAAGTTTGAGGACAAAGAAATTTGCACATTTTGACGAGGAATGCTCGCATCTTTTCAAATCTAAACTTCATCAATTCGACCGCTTTCAAATAATTCCCAACTTCAATCGACTCATTAGCTAAAGCATGTTCATAAAATTCATTACCAAAGATACTTTTTTAATCATCTTGTTGTGCTCTTACATATAACTCCCTCCATTCGTACAACCAACAAAAAAATTTGAAAATTATAATTATAATCGAAGAAATAAATTAAAGATATCATCACATATAAGATCTGATATCTCGTTAACAAATAGAGGTCATAAACCTAGTGTGTGT